ACACAATCTCCCTGCCAAACATTTCCAAATATATGGTAGGATTTCCTTTCTTTTTACTGTACACAGAGGAGAGATTTTATAACTTTTTATTTAGTAAATGAGCCATTTTGCATTAATTTTGCCACGTATTAACCTATTTTTTTTTTAAATGGAGCAAATAAATGAAGATCCAGAAAGCAGTGTCTTCTCTCAGCTCAGCTACTTCCTAGTAACAAATTTAAAAGCAGCTTATTTGCTGTCTCATTCTGCAGACACAGAAAACATTATATTTCATCCTGGCCCAATATACTCCTTTAAATAGCCTCAATATCCTACAGATTAATTTGTGTCTGAGGTTCTAAATATTTCTGACCTGAATCTGTGGTTTTTCTAACTCCTAATTTTCAGGTGCACTCCAAAATACCTTTTTCTGCAGGTGCAGCAGAAAACCCTAGTTTGATTTCAACCTTTCTGACTCACCTGTTTAAAAGCTGTATCCATTTCCAAAGACAAAGACTTTCACTTGTCTTGGGAAGTAAAGCTATCTAATTAAAACCTTCAGGAATAAGATTAAAAAATGGCAGAATCCAGAAAATTTGTAATAGGAGATTTTTACCTTTTTTCTTACTAAATCAAGAACTTCAGCGTGCTACACACCTCTGTAAAAGAAAATCTTCGATGCATTTCCTCCAAAGCCTAATTATTTGTGAACTTCGCTGGTGTCCTCTGACTAAGTAATTCTCCTTCCCTTCACCTTCATCTGTCTTTTTCTGACTTTGCCTTCCCTCTAGAGACAGTGCTGTCTCCTTCTCAGGAAGGTGAGGTCCTCCCTCCATTTTCAACCAGTCAACTTAACTGTGGCCATCTTTGGTTCCAGCCTCCTTTCTAACTCCCCAGACAGCTATGCACTTAACAACCAGGCTTGCAGGAGATTATTCAAATTTCATGGTGCTACCAAAATAAAATCTTGCATTTCAGCAAACAAGGAATCTTTCAATATTCATGCTTTCTCCAAGACAATTTACATTTGAACATAATCAGGACAATGTCTAGAATTAACTGTCCTTGTCAAAATCCAGTTCATTTTACAATAAACATGCTCATTACAAAGTCATCTTGCAAAATAACATCTGCAAAAAAGCAAAAATTTCACTATGTAATAAGAATCTGCAATCCTGTCAGTTTCATATTACACAATGAAAATAGGAAATTTTTAAAAAAACACAGTTATGCTATGATATTAAACAGTTAAATGCATACAACTGATCTACAGAATAGTTTAATTAACAGTTTCCTGCAAAAAAAAACAAACCCATTACTTCAGATGACAAAAGAAGGTGATTACCTGAAAGGCAATAAAGAGACTTCTATTCTCTCTGCAGCTGATTCTACCTGATACAGAAGACATGAAAAATGGGATCCAAAATGTCAGAAACTGTTATCCTGTACACCAATCAGGGTAGAAGGTGCCACTTTACCATCTCTTTTCATAAAATAAATTGCATGTATTAGACAGAAGACTTTACATTATTTCAAATATAATGGCAAAATAGTTTGCTACCACATTTATTTTTCAAAATTATTTTTCCATCAATACTGCTTCAGGTAGTGGAATTGGGCTACTTTTACTACTTGATTGGTTTGCTAGTTATAGCAAATTTCTAAGAGCTCAAATGCAACTGAACTGTATTGCATATATATATATAGTCCAAATTTTAAGCAAACCCGAGGTAAAACGCAATAAAACCTCAACAGAGTTTTCAGCCAATACTTTCTACTTCAGATTTCTAATTGACTACTGATTGCTTGCAACTTCCTCCACATCTTATCTACTTCAGTATAAGAAACAAACCAGAATCTGTACTAAAATTCTTGTTACTGTAAAGTCTGTTTTTTTCTATTAATTCCACTTTTACTCTTTTATAGTCACACTGCTTTGAACTGAAAGGATGTAACATCAAATGTCCTAAGGAATGAATCAACACTAGAAGATATTCTAGCTTAGACAATCCTTAGGGAGCCATTCTCCATCTGTTCACTAGACAGTGCACAGAGCATTAGAAACAAGTCCTCCAAGTTCACTTTCTACATCTCCCATTTACTCACTTCCAGTCAGGCACTCAAATAAATACTAAATCAGATTGACTTATTCTGTCCTCTCCCTCTTTAAATGTAGTAGTTGTTAAGGAGAGGAACTGTTCATTAGCTGAAGACTTTTTGGAGCACTTGATGGTAATATTATGGACAACTTTACCTGCCACAAAATGGCACTGTTCCTGTCAAAACTAATCCTACTTTCCTTTGCTCCTAGGTACTCATTCCTGTCCTTACAATGGCTCCCCAAAATCGTGGCAGAACACAAGCACAGGTATTTGTGCAACATGATAAATTGCACTGGAAAACTGATCTGGGTTACAAAAACCTTACCAGCTGTCAAAAAGTAGTTAGGTTTATCATAGACTAACTCTCCCACCATGCAAGAATTTTGCTATCCTCTTTGTGGGGTAGCACAAGAAATAAAAGCTGCCAGTGACACAGAGTAAGATTTATTTATTTCACAGCAGTTTTGGCTTATGTCAATTGAAAATTTATGTGAAATTCCTGCCTCACTTCAGAACTATAGCTGGAGTTCAAAAGTGAAGCAGTCCAGGAAAAGATAATATCAAGACAGCGTTGAACTTTAAAGGACTGAGGTGAAATTTCTTTTTCTGTCTAAACAGTTAAGGCAAACTGATACTAAGATAAATCACACCCCTGTTAAAACCAGCTCTCCAGTAATCAAAAGTGCAAGAATTTTTAAGTAAAAAAAAAAATCATCATCATAGCTAATTCAAAAGAAAATACACAGGTACAAAAGAGTACAGAACCAAACTGTTTACATCAACTGAACAGTTTGGGCTAAAAGTGTCTCATGTCTTTTCTTGGCTTATGCTGGTGTTCTGAAAAGTATCAGATAAAATCAGTCCAACTAACTACAAAAAATATGGGAAAACAGTATGTTTACTCATGTTAAAAAGTCTTAAGAGCTCAGATCTCCTATTAAATCCTCCAGGATTTCCAAGTTCTGGACATGGAATTCATTTTACATACTCTAGAATGGTCTCTTAGGAAACAGAGGGCAGTTAAGACTTAAAAAAAGGTTATACTTCAATGTCTTTATAAAAATTAGACAAGTTTTATTTTTATTGTATGTTAATATTTAACATAAGCTTTAAAGCTTGCCATGAGGGTGTCTCTCAGTAGCATGTGCTAACAACTACTAAAACTGGAATTACTGAGCAGGTTAGAGAGGAAGAAAAAAGATCCCTATGGCTTCACCTTGGTCACTACTACAAACAAAAATCAAGACAGTTACCAACAAGTAGTAAGAACACCACCATCTTTGGGTGAAAACAAGAAAGAAGTCTATGAACAGCATAAAAGTTAATTCCATGATACTAAAATAAGCTTTCACATTATGTCAAATTTCCACCTTCAAATTAGAAAGATTTTTTATTTGATTGATGAGACACTTAAGTAAAGCTGAAAAAAACTCTTCTGGAGGCTTCTGAAATAGCCACTGTAATCTGTTTGAGCTGAAGAATGAAAATCTGCATTTCCTCCAGTTTTTAAAGATACCTAACCTGATTACACAAGATGTTAAGATATTAAAACTAAAATTATAATTACTTTCCTTGCAAGGAGAAACTTCATTTTAGCAAGCCAAGTTTATTAACTATTATCTAGTTTAACATCTATTTGAATTTTTAGAAAGCAAATATGAAAATTGCCAAATAATTATTTTTAAAAAATCAATACTTCACTGTTTCCTTATCCTTTCTTCAGCAATTAATCCTAGCCTTCTTTCTTCACATAAAATTTCTAACAACACAAGTGTTTAGGGACCCAGAATCTCACCTATACTAAGATTATTGATATGCTTATGTGCACTCTTATTTTTTGGCTTTTTCTTATATTGTTGACATAGTCTTTCTGATAACCTCATCATAAAACCAACTTGCAATTTTGCAACTACAAAATAGTTTCAAGTTAAGCCTGGTTTTATTTGTTTGAATATTTTAACAACTATTACACTAGGTATCTTCCCTGAAATTTGTCTTTAGAGTTCTAATGTACATTGCTTCTCACCTACCATATCTCTCTCCTCTATTTAAATAATTTAAGAATAAATTGTTTCTGCAGAAGACTGAAGACATTCACAGAAGTTAACAGGCTAACTAAGGTACAGAAAAAGATGGTATTTTTAACTACTACTGTTCATAGAAATAACTCAGAAATGCCTACCAGAGGTTTAATAAACAAAACTGCAATGGAAAAGAGTAAGTCTTAAGCAGAATTCACTGTATAGGGCCACTTAAATTAGTCTCATATATGTATTTAAAACCATCCACCATCTTGATGAGAATCAGTGCCTCCTACAGTACCTTAAAATGTTGGATTCTCTTGTCCAACCAGTATTACTTCAAGGTTTTCAGCTGCACAGACTGAATGATGCAGTGTACATGAAAAAAAACTGCATCTCAATCTGGTATAAAAAGCCAGATAGTGCGTTTTCCTGCACAACCTACTAAAAATGTTAAAAAAAAAAAGTTAATAATTTACTTGCAAACAAAAGGAGTTGGGAATCCTAATAAGTAACCAAAAAGTTCAGAGAAGATCTGATCAACAATGCATAGGCAGATATAAGAACTCCATCCTCTAAATGCTTATTAGGGAAGAGTTTGTCCTCAGGGAAGAACAGTCACATGTCTAATAGAAATGAAGTACTCCTTCTAAGGTACTACCACAATCCACATTTTTTTTGGCAGTGAAAACTATTAACACAGTTATTAAATTTACTTATAAAAACATTGTGAACAAAGCACTATATACAGAAATATTAAGATTACAGTCTCCAAGTATCAAACTTAAGAGGTTTCATGCAGGTACTGAACACGCATAAAATCCTCAGTTGACAGGCCTCAACAAGTAACTGGCACCATTTTATACCCATACAAGAGAAAGCTTTTAATGTCACGTACCGATTTCTTTTTAATGTCCTCCAGATCTTTGAGTTCATTCTCAATCTTTGTGATTAATTCCCTGAGTTCATCAAGATTAGTGCAAATAAGCTAAAAAACAAATGAACACAAACACTTGGTAATGTGGGACTTGGAAAATGTATAAAAAATTTAAATAAAATCTAAAAGCACATTTTACTACTTAGTGCCACAATTTGATTTTTATTTTCTTACAGCATTTTTAATGTCAAAAAATAGGACTTTTGGAAAGAAAAAAGCTAATAAGAAAATACTTCACTCTTCAGGCATAAGCCATATCTCTGCCTGTAAGCTTCCATTAAAAAATGTAGGTATTTTCTTAAACTTTCTGTGAAAGACAACTACATTTGTCTCAAGTATAGTAATGAGTTGGAACAGGTTTGAGTACAAACAACTCCCTGGTGAATTAAGGAGTACTAGCTTCAGGCTATGCTGTGTTTATAACATAAATAAACTTGTTACAATTTTTTCCTGAAGACAACTTCATATGTTTACACACATTATTCCTGAAAGATAACCTAGCCATGTGTGCGAAATCCGCCTGGCTTTGTACCTTTTGAAACAGTATTAAATTATTCTTTTTTCTGTCTTTAGAAAATGTTTTTTTTACTTTTTTTTCCTTTCAGAATATGGATGCTATCTTCTTGAAAAAAATCTGTATGTTTTGCCTTACCATAACTTAAGGAAACTATTAAGCTATTAGGTTCTTTCAGGTTATCGTATGCTAAGACTTGCTTCTTTCTGAACACCCTTGGGTGGAACTGTTTTCCATTTACTACCAAGAAGATGTTGAAATAATTGTTGAAACAGAAAAAAAACACCACAAAAATGAAATTGCTATTTTTTCCTCCCTCAGTCAGTAATTTGTAACAATATATTTTTAGTTCAATTATACATGAAGCATTAGATTTGCACCAAATTTGTATTAAGAAAACTTTGTTTCATTATTAAAAACACAGAACTGACACTTTCAGCAAAATACATACATTTCAGAAACCTCAAAGATACACATGTTGTTATTTTCATAATGCTTGTGTGCATTTGAGAGCTTTGGGGAACTGGAGTGACAAACTAAGATTTACAGTGTTCACATGTCAAGCTTAAAATAGCATGCAAATAAGAAAATTGGCACTATCTTGCTGTAGACAATGTATGTAAACTTAAACTTCTCTCTTAACACAGGAAACAGTATTACTATGTGTAACTTGACTAGGTTCAACATGTGCTCTATCCTGTGCTTAACAGAGTTCCAAAAACATAAGATGCAAACTGAAAGCCAAATGGCTTCTCTTCTCCTACCTAGGCTACAAAGAAATTTATGGTACTGTATGATACAAAAAGGTGCAAGTTTTTCACATTAAATCATTGGCAAAAGTCAATAAAGGCATGGATAAAGATTACCCCTATGCAATTATAATCTACTCCTTTTGACTATATACCTGATAGGTTGGTTTTTAATACTTATTACTGTCATTTATTTTCTCCTATGAGATACATTTAATTCATTTACCATTGATCAAAGATAAAGAACTATGAACCAAAGAAAGATACTGTTTTAGTTTGCTAGATTTGGGTGAATTTCTCTCTAGGAAGTCACTTTCAGAATGGCAAGAGTTTCCAAGGAGAAGAGTGATTTCAGTATCGGTACTTGAATGCTGTCCTGGAAAAAACAACTCTAACATAAAAAGCTCCTACATGTCATCAGACAATTCATGCAGGCAAACTTTTCACAGTTCTGTTTCTCATTTTCAAAACAGTCACTTGAGACATAGGGATCAGATTTGCAAAACTGTTATACAATGTTGCAAAATATATAAACGGGAAAACCCATGCAAATAGAAAAAGTTTAGTTGTCTTGCGGCTGGAGGTGACAGGGAGAGTAATCAAATCCCTAGGTACTAATTTTCAGAGGAAGTGTACGTTTGAGACTTATATCTGTGCGGCAGTTACACCCAATGGAAAAACAAGGAAGGTAACAGCAGCTTAGGTCAGAGGACTCACTGCCACAATGAATTTAGTATTTTAAATACTCCAATAATATTCTGAAAACCACTATAAGAAGGTTCAAGAAGAAATGTATATTGCATCATTGATAGTGAGGTTCAAGATGTAGCATTAAAGATACACACTAATTGGGAAGAACCTGTTTCTGAAACTTTTCTCATTTGTGTTAGCATTTCTCACCTTAAAGAATGAAGACAGCACTGTGAAGCAAAGATTAAAAGAACAGTAACCAAAGTGCAGTGATTTTGTATGACCATTTTGATATGGCTGCTGTTTCTCATAATGACACTCTTAACGTATGTTTCAGTGTTCCTTGCTCATGGTTGTTAATTGGATGAATTCAGCAATTCAGTTTTCTGCAAACAACAGTGCCTTTCTAAATTGATTTGTGTGTTTTAGCAGGTAAGTTAACGTGAAGGCAATAAAAAAAGACAATATTACAATCTAACAATTCTGTCACATTTTTATAGCTCACTGGTAGTTTTACATTCTGTTCTTAAAGAACATGATTTCTAATCATCATAATGAGAAAGAATCTGAAGAGAAAAAGATGTTTCTCTTATGATTTACCAAACGTAGTGGAAGATTAGTCCTTGTTCTCTAGAACACTGCACGGTGGCTTAAACATTCAGACTGTAAACATTTCCACTGAAGTACAAATCATGTAATTAGACATATTCACATCAGGCACAGCACTTATTCCATATGGGCTTAATTTTCCTAGGCAATAAACATGCTGTTTTTCACCTGAATACAATGAAACTTTCAGGTATTTTTAGGATTCCAGTAAATTTTCAAATTCCATGTACAACTTTCCTGTTAGGATACAATCTCAGATCACAGTAATTGGTCAGACTCCCACTGACTCCTAGAACTTCAAGTGGGTAAAGTGGGTAAAAATAATTTTTTGTAAGGAAAGACAGAAGGACCAAGCTCTATTCTAACTTTGGACTCTTCCGTGATGCGTTTCTCAGCATTTATAAATTATCTTTACAAAAACCAATCCAAACTGTGGATCTATTATTGAACACAAACCTAATTTGTTCCCCCAAATCACTGATGTTCCCTCTTTGCCCATCTTCAGCCAATCTTTTAACTCCTTATCTTCAGGTTATGCTTGTAATGATCACAGAGTCATAAGATAGTTTGGGTTGGAAGGGACTCTTTAAAGTTCATCTAGTCCAACCCACCCTGCAGTGAGCAGGGACATCTTCAGCTAGATCAGGTTGCTCAGAGCCCTGTCCAATCTGACCTTGAATGTGTCTAGGGATGGAACATCTACCAACTCACTGGGCAACTTGTCCCAGTGTTTCACCACACTCCCTGTAAAAAACTTCTTGTGTTTAGCCTAAACCCACTTTCTTTTGGTTAAAAAACTACTACCCTTGTCCTGCCACAACAGGCCCTGCTAAAATTTTGTCCCCATATTTCTTACAGGATTGTAATTATGACTGTAAATTACAGTTTTATTTCCTATGAACCTGCTATTTTATTGTTGCCTTCTCCATGTTGGGAATGTCCAGATAGCCGTCTTTCAAGATATGCATTTAATATAGACTACAGCTGATAAACTGTTAAAACACAGTTAAAAAGAAAAGCTGAAGTTAGCTCAGTTCTCTAAAATGTGTGCATTCCTTTTTTCCTTATATGTAGGTCTGCACAGCTATATGTGAGGGGAAAGAAGGGAAGAGTTAGACAAAGCACTTGTTACCAAATCTAAATGTACTTTATAACTAGAAGAGAAACCAAAGAAAACATCAGTGTCCCTTCTGTACAGCAATATAATTACTGTTATTTATTTTAAACATTAATAAGCAACAGTAATAATAGGGTTGGAACTTAGAATTTTTTTTAAAAGGAAACATGCATCAGACAACTAACAGAGCTGTACACTCTGCCCTCCAATATTTTTCAAAATACTAAAAACAGGACATGTTTTATGTGTGTTTTTATTTGCCAAAGATAATTTAATTTGTATCTGCTTTTGTTTTGGATTTGTTTTCTCTTTTGTTTGTATTTTGAGTTGTTTTTTTCAGAGCAGCCTCAAGATAAAAAATTATTGTAAGGTCTGAAACCACATGCAAGGAAGGAGTGAGGTTCACACCTATGCTTACACTGCTTTGTCCATGACTTTCAAACTATGATAGAGAGCAGAAAATATGTGCAGTATGTTCCTCAAATGGTTGTTTAAAAATGGCATTATGTTAGAATTAAGTAGTACAATTATGTCCTGATTTTTTTTTGTTAGTAATTGATTTTAATGTATAATTTGGGTCACTACACACATTAGGGGATTTATTCAGACTAATTTTCTCAGTTTTGATGTCAAGTTACGATTTTCAGGTAAATGATCTATACTTAAGTAGAGGATCTAGTCTTATGAAATGAAGTGCCTCATGGCATATTTTGTTTGGTCTGGTTTTTACATTTGTAGGCTAGATGTAAAGCATCTTACACATTTTCACCAAAAGAACTGACGTTTAGATAGAAATAGCAATAGTCTGCTTATGCCCTCCCTGGAATACCTCACAGGGCCTGTATACACCCAAGATGTTTTACCAGATATTAAAAAATACATTCTTACTTTCAAACAGTTACATAAATTCATAAAGTTTCACTACCCAACTGTGTGGAGCAGAGTAACTTTAAGCATACTTTACTAGGCTCTAGAAGTCTTACTAGCATGCTAAATATGTTTTCATATTTGCAAATACTTTAATTTTTTAAAATACTTTTTTAATATTGCAAATACAACAGTCATACTAGTCCTGCCTGTCCTCTTGAAAAAGGCAGGTTAAATTGTTAAGGAGTTCTCTGGTAAGATTAAATTGCTCATACTAACTGATCTTAGTGTCACCTAAAACAGAGAAAAAGCTTAGCTTTGATCAAAAGAGCAAGTAATTATTTTGTTACATTTAATTAACATTTTAAATAGTTGTAAGAAATTATGATAATTTTACACTTAGATCTATACACATACAGTTTACCTTGGCTAGATAAAAAGTTGGGCTAAGTTTTCAGCAATGTTTTAGACTATTAAATGTAGTAGTTTAGTACTGTAAAAAATTATTTCTAACTTAACTGTACACCCATGGCACGGAGGCAATATCCTGGGAAAAATAAAATCTTTATACACTCCCTATTTTTTTATCTGAGATAAATATATATATATACACACATACATCAACCTTTTCTCAATATTGACCAACCGATTTGATCATCAGAAATTCTATTAACTCTATGTAAAACACATCATCATCATGGACTAACATTATTCAGTGTGAGGATTTTACAGAACAGCTATGATTTAATGTGAGACCACTGCTAAGAACAGCATAGACTGCTTTCTGAAAAAAAAAAATATTATAGCCAAAGGACAACTGCAATCCAAGTAGGCATGTGACTTTGAACTGAAGTACTCTCACACTTCTACCATAGTATCATAACACTATATTATATTTAGCACTCTTTTCTTACTGCTCTCTGGTCTAAAGGTCTTGTGCAGATAAAAGCTACAAACAAGATGAGAACAGGAGCTTATATTTTTTTCACCTTCAGTAATCAGGCTAGAATTCAGTTCAAGACCACAGTGTCACACCTCATTAAAAACCCACATAATTTAAGCCCAGAAAATTTTATCTACCTTAAAAATTAAAAAAAACTATTTTTTACAGGTTTAAACCTGTAACGTATTTATCTGGGATCTTAACCAATACTGTAAAAAAACGTGTAAACTGCAAACAACAAAAAATGCTAAAACATTCTCCAAGAAAAGGGGAAATGTGCTTTTGAAAACACTATCAGATTAAACCATATGAACTAGAAGAAGGAAAATAATATTTGAATAGCGTTTCCAAGGTCTCTATCAGAAACGAAAAGACTTTTTTACAGACATTCAGATTTCAAGTGCTTTAAACAAAAATTAAAATAATTTACCTGAAATTCTGGTATGGTAGACTTTGTGACACCTTTCCTCTTCTTTGGGATTGCTTTTTTAGATACCGATTTTTTTCCTTGCAAGATTAAAAGAGAAAAGCTTCATAATGCTGTTTGCTGTACTTCATTAATAAAACCAAATTACATACAGACTTGAAAGTTAAACTGTAACCAACAGATGACTGACAGTAAGTCATATAAACATGATGAATCAGAACTAGACTCAGTAAGAGCAAACATTAAAGTACAAGTATCTGTGTAAGGCAGTCTTTTTGTAGGGGGAAAAAATGGAAGAGAAAAAAACAACACTACAATGTTCAAAATATATCACCTAAAAATTTGTCTTAAAAGAAACATTCACACCACTGCTCTTAAAGGAGTGAAACACAAAACTTCTGTCACAAACTTACAAAATATAGCACCTTACCTGCAAGATTTGTTTTCTGACAGTGTTTGACCACACATTAGGGTATGGACCTCTGTATCTTTCAATAAAAAATATCCTTAAAGCACAACCAATATCAAGAAATCCCCAAATAAATCTACTGAATTTACCAATGAAATCAGATTACTGATTTGTTTTTCCTGGCTGTGGCAAAACCTACCATTTCAGAAGAAAGCAAACATCTTCCTATAATGCCCTTCATACACCCAACTATGCTATATAAGAACATGGATACAACTAAAAATCTCCTTAAAGGTAAGGCAAGTCCTTTTCTGCCTATAGTATCAGGGTTTACAAGACATACACATTTCTCTGATTAAGTTGTTGTATCCCTAAGCCATGTATGCAAGATAATGGAGCTTCTTACATGGTTATCTCTACATCCACATGGTAAACTGAAACAAACACACTTCTGACCTGTTCATTCAGGCCAAAGCCATTACTCTAACTTTGAATGCTCACATTCAGGAGCATTGAACAATTGAACAATTGAAAACCTTGAAAAAAATAAAAGTATGTGGAATGCAAAGTATGTGGAATTCATTGTCAAACAGAATCATTACAGCCACTTGGTTAATGAAACTACTGGCAGGAATTTAATTTAATTTTGTCCTAATAGATGCTTGTGTGTGCAAATGCATAAACATACACCTATTCAAAGATGCCTAGGCATCTACATTTTCAGTTTATTACTCTATCCTATTATAGTTTATCACACTGTGAGTTTCCTGAACATCTTAACTGAATCTGAAATAAAACACACTTAAGAGACAGGGCATAGGGCTTGAAGGATTTAGATTAGAAACTACACACTGAACGCATAACAAAACTTTAAGTCCTCAACTACCAAATATAAACCACTCAGATATCACATTACAGAATAAGTGATAAAACAGAGATAAATGTTTATTAGAACAATGACTCAAAAGTTTTGACAATAGGCAAAAAAGTCAGCACTTTTGTTAGGTACTTCATTAATCCAGCTGCACTAAAAACTAATTGTTACTACTGAGAACAGTGCTGTCCATTGAATAAAATAAGAAAACCTCTAATACAAGCTTTCATGACAAACTGACTCAAAAAGAAATCTGGTCATATGTTGCTTCCTTGTTATAGACCTGTAAAAGAATGTTATCTGGGAAGAACATGGGCCAGCTAGAATGTTTTCCTTATTTACAAAACCAAAGGTTTGAATATTATTAAAAATTTTAATTTTATTTTCAATAAATATTTTCAAAAATATTTTCAATAGCTCTTTTGGCAAATATTTAATTCAATATTTTCAGAATTAAGTGCTGTATGATGCAGTGTACTTCAAAAAATAACAGACATATGCTGTTTTTCCCCAATATTTCTTTCTGAAAAAGGGGAAAAAATTGTTAGCAATAATTGTAAAATATATGACAAAATTAAAAGAAAGTGAATGTTTCTTCCTTTGCAGCAGCATCCAAAAAAGCATGCATTGGGGAAAATACGAGATAACAGACCGAACAACTATTAAAAAAGATTTACTAGAAGCACAAGGAAAACAAGCCTTACCTTCTGTGTAAACTGAATCAAGTAAAACAAAGTTTTTGAAAATAGAACATGACATATGGGTCATCATAAAGCATGCCTACTAGAATATATGTACCATAAGACTTACACAGTTCCAAGACTGCCATCTGCCATGAACTGAGAATGTATCTGTAGAGAGCAGCACCATAGCCTCTTTTCCACTTTATGCCTATACACTTCAGAAAGCCTATGGTGCAGGCACACATCACATAGCAAAAAATAAGACGACACAACTTACATTTGCACAATGGGAGAGAATATATACAGCAAACTAATTTTGTCAAAGTCATCTTCTACCTTAATATCACCCTTATAAAATTGAAATTCAGAAGAAATTATAGCAATAGTACTGGTAACATCTCTCTTTTTAAAAATAGTAATCCCTCTAGGTTTCAAAAAAGAGTATTTTTGTTTACCAAGTTTTAAAAGAAACATTTTCTTTTTTAGCTTTTCAAGGAAAAACACAAAGAATGTTATGGAAAACTTTTCATTTAAACTTTCATTCATGAGACGATATAGCTGCACCTGTGTTAAGTTTCTGAATTTACTAGCTAAAAATATTCCAATTCACTTACCTTTAATGCAGAAAAATCTTTGGAAAAAATTAACCAAGGATCAGATTTCCACAATAAAAGCCTACTGACATCTGCTAGTTTAGATTCTCAAACTGCAAGCTGACATGTTCAGCAAAGCCAACAGCAACTGTAAGGAGATGTCACCGTCTACCAATTATCCGCTACTGGCCCTGTCACACATCACATAACCACGTGAACATTTTAGCCATGCCACCACAGAGCTTCAGCTGCCAGTATGAGGTAGGTATAGATTCAGTATGAAGAATAAAATCAGTAAGGGACTGAACAGCCATCTAGTGTGAGTGGCAGCTCCTCAAACCACTCCACACTGTGGTATGCTACCCATAATCTTAGATAGTTTATTTAAAATCTCTGACATTACTTACTTCAGCAGATGAAGTAGCATTTCTGACAACAGCCAAATTAATACCTTTTGGAGCGTATTCAGTGTACAAATATATTTAATTGCTGACTGAAAGCATAAGAATTAGAAAACACACCTAAGTACTTCTAATAAGAAAGTTCTTCAGGTCACCTATTCCAATTCAAGGCACCCTATTTGCTTCCCACCTCTCAGTCCCCAGGTTTTACTGTTCATAATTTATAAACCACTTAACAAGAGTTCTACACACAGAAAAAACAGTAAAGTCATTTCAGTACAAAAAATTCTCAGAGGGGCAAGAGGAACAGTGGCTTAATAAATACATTTTTATTTTTAGAGGTCTTCAAGTCACAGCTGACCTGGTCTAGTATTTTTAACAGTCCTGCTTCACACAGGGAGTTGTAATAGGTGATGTCCAGATGTTCCTTCCAAACAGCTTTTCTATGGCTTTGTGACTCTTTAAATGACTGTGTTGCACAGTATTAGTGCCAAATATGTAAGAATCAATAACTCAGAACTGTACTACACAAAAGGAAGAACGTAAGACAATGGTTTTGTCCAATCAATTTCTTTACACTTCTCCCAGATCATGTAAGAATGAAATCAGAAAAAAACACAGTTAAAGAAAAACAAACAAACAAACAAAGAGTTTCCCAGACTAAAACAGGAAGTCCAAAGAAAATAATGATCTTGAAAAAGCTGAAGAGGCCACCTTTTCCAACATTTGCAACTACATAGGCCTGTTGTTAAGCCTACTATCTTGTGGCACTAACAGTGGCCTCCCTACAGACCAACAGCTACAATGCTAGATTATTTTTTTTTTGTGGACTAGAGAAATACTTGCTTGGACAAATGTTTTGTAAATATTGATAAATATTTCTTTTTATTTTCTCTCCCTCCCTCCCCCCCCCCCCATAAAAGGTTTACTTCCTTTTGATACAAAGTTCAATTTCAAACAGTCTCTGGGAAGAAAAAAAAAGAGCTTTCTTGCCCCTTATAACCTACTTTGGTGCAAACTGAACTGTTCTAAAGGTAGGAAATGTCAGCCTGCATTATTCTTGTGTAACCTTACATTCACCCACTATGGTGATTTCGCTGTGCCACACTTACTATGTCTCCACACTGCCTTTTCCAATAGACTCCACATATTCGTTACATTTCAGTTCAGAGGGGAAAAGAGTACAATTCATTTTACCTTGGGCAGAAGTTGTAACTACCATCTCTTTTCCACTCCCATGCTGCAGCCATTTCCAATGGCAATGGTTTGAAGCTTAAAGAGGGGGGTTCCGGTTGGACATTAGGAAAAAAGTTCTTTCCTGTGAGGGTGCTGAGATACTGGAACAGGTTGCCCAAGGAAGTTGTGAATACCTCACCCCTGGAAGGGTTCAAGGCCAGGTTGGATGGGGCATAGAGCAACCTGATCTAGGAGGAGGTCCCTTCCATCCCTAGCTATTCTAGCCCCATTCTATTCTTGTTCTAGCCCCATTCTATTCTTGTTCTATTCTAGCTAAATCATTCCTGGAATGGGATTAGGGAGGAGACAGATACAGACAACTAAGGCAAGAGCACTCCTACGTTTTGTGAATAAATCAAGACTGTGCAACAAAGTCCTTTTCATTCTCTACCAGAGCATAAAGGGAAAACACAAAATCACTTTATTCTTCAAACTACAATAAATTTTATACTAAATTAAACTATAATCCTGTTATCTGTGAATAGAAAACAAAACTATCATTTTGAGGTAATATTTCTCTCCAATAACACGCTACCTAATATACCTAGAGCTGGAAGCATCAGAAGCTCAGTCTGCACATTCCCTGACTTTACCTTCTGAAACAAATCATGTGGATATTAAATTGAAACATGTGCAGTTGTATAACGTTCTATCATGCCACTGTTTTTTCTGAATGAAAACATGCCTTCTTGGAGCAGAAATGCAGTAATATACGTGTTTTCCACAGTAAACTTAGCTGATAAAGCCCTAACTCATCTTCCAAAAAAGCTGCATAAAGTGGATTCCACAGATGTTATCTGTTAATAGACATGCAGGCTAACTAACAAGGTAACATAATGACTAGTTTTGAGTATTCAAAAAACCCACTGGAGATATTAAATGAA